CTACGCTGGTGGTATGCTGGTGGGCTGCTATGCTGGTCTTATGCGCCTGCTATGCTGGTGGTATGCGGCTGCTATGCTGGTCTTATGCGGCTGCTATGCTGGTGGTATGCGCCTGCTATGCGCCTGCTATGCGTCTGCTATGCGCCTGCTATGCGCCTGCTATGCGTCTGCTATGCGCCCGCTATGCGTCTGCTATGCGGCTGCTATGCGGCTGCTATGCTGGTGTATGCCGTGGCTGGTGTATGCCTGGTGGTCGGCCCCCTCTGGCGAGGCCCATGTAAGGACTCATGTAGCTGTGCATCTCGAGCGTGTGGCAACGAAAAACTTGCGAACCAGCCACGACGTCGAGAGGTGGCGCGCGCGTGCTGCTCTCGACGCGCCGCGCGCAGCTCCGGCCGCGCAGCGATGGCCCTGCGCGTGCTCTCGGTGCGCCTCGCGCGCGCGCATCCGCTGGCGCGCGCGCCGTCGGCGCCGGCCGCGCGCCGCCTGAGCGTCGGCGACCCGGCGGCCGTGTCCTTCGCGGGCGCCATCGGCGCCGGGAGCCGCGACGTGCCGGGTCTCGTGGGCCTGCCGACGCGGCGCGAGCAGGTCGCGGCCCTGCGGCGCGGCGGCAACGACATGTTCGACGTGCTCGTCGTCGGTGGCGGCGCCGTCGGGAGCGGCGTGGCCCTCGACGCGCAGACGCGGGGCCTGCGCACGGCCTGCGTCGAGCGCGGCGACTTCTCGAGCGAGACGAGCAGCCGGTCGACGAAGCTCCTCTGGGCGGGCATCCGCTACATCGCGACGGCGGCCGCGGGCCTGCTCCGGGCGAAGAGCTTGCGCGACCCCGTGAGGGCCTTCCGCGACTTCGGCGGCGAGTTCATGATGGTGCTCAACTGCCACCGGGAGCGGCGCTACATGATGGAGACGAACCCCCACCTCTGCTCCTGGCAGCCCATCGCGCTGCCCTTCAGCGAGTGGTTCATCAAGCCCTACCCCTTTGGCCACGCGGCGTTCGGCTTCTTCCCGATCCTCTCGCCCCTCGTCTTCAAGCTCTACGACGCCATGTCGGCCTTCTCCTGCCCGCCGTCCTACGTCGTCGGCCGGCGCCGCGCGCGCGACATGTTCCCCCAGCTCTCGCGCGAGTCCAAGGGCATCAACTACATCCAGGTCTTCTACGAGGCGATGCACAACGACGCGCGCACGAACGTCGCCATCGCGCTGACGGCGGCGGAGAAGGGCGCCGCCGTGGCCAACTACTGCGAGGTCGTCGACCTGCTCAAGGACGACGGCGGCGTCGTGGTCGGCGCGGAGGTCCTGGACCGGGTTTCGGGCGACCGCTTCGACGTCCTCGCGAAGGCCGTCGTGCTCTGCGGCGGCCCCTTCACGGACGGCATGCGGCGGCTCGAGCGGACGGACCCGGACCGGCCCTTCGAGCCCGCGGTCCGCGGCGGCAGCGGCACGCACATCGTGCTCCCGGGCTACTACTGCCCCAAGGACATGGGCCTCTTGGACTACAACACGTCCGACGGCCGCTTCCTCTTCTTCCTGCCCTGGCTCGGCCACACGGTCGTCGGCACGACGGACAAGCAGTGCGACGCGGAGACGCTGCCGACGGCGCCCGAGGACGAGATCCAGTGGATCTTGAACGAGTGCTCCAAGTACCTGTCGCTCGACATCCGCGTGAGCCGCGGCGACGTGCTCAGCGCCTGGCGCGGCTGGCGCCCGCTCGCGTCGGACCCCCACGCGGACCCCGACGGCCCCGTGAGCCGCGACCACATCGTGTCCTACAACGACGAAACCGGCGTCGTCTTCTGCGCGGGCGGCAAGTGGACGACGTGGCGCGAGATGGCCCAGGACGTCGTGGACAGGGTCACGGCGGAGCGGGGGCTCCGCGCGTCCAGGTGCAAGACGCGGGATCTCGGGCTCCTCGGCCGCGACGGCTGGGAGATCACGACGCCCGTGCAGCTCGTGCAGAAGTACGGCGTCGCCGAGAGCGTCGCGGCGCACCTCGCGACGACCTACGGCGGCCGCGCCGCCGACGTCTTGGAGCTCGCGGCGCCCACGGGCCGCAACTACCCGCGCCTCGGCATACCGCTCGCGGACGGCTACCCCTACATTGAGGCCGAGGTCCGCTACGCGTGCCGCGAGTACGCGGTGACGGTCGAGGACGTGCTGAGCCGCCGCACGCGCCTCGCGTTCCTCAATTCCGCGGCGGCGACGGACGCGATCCCGCGCGTGGCGGAGTTGATGGCGGAGGAGCTCGGCTGGTCCGAGGCGGAGCGCGCGCGGCAGTTGGACCACGCCTACGCCTACATGGCGTCCTACGGCGGCCCCGTCGCGGACAAAGGCGCGGCGCTACGCTCCGATCCGCGACGTCCGAGGACCTGCGGCGCATCTTCGACCACATCGACGCGTCGGGCGACGGCGTGCTGCACCCGGCCGAGGTCCGCGACGCCGCGCACCTGCTGGGCTTCCCGCTCCGCGACGGCGACGAGTGGCTCGACAAGGCCTTCACGGCCATGGACCCGGACGGCAACGGCGTCGTCACCTTCGAGGAGTTCTCCGCGTGGTGGAACGGCGACTCGGAGCTCTCGGGCTACGCGCGCCGCAAGGCCGCGCTCGTCGACGAGTTCAAGCTCGACATGGCCAAGCAGCTCACGGCGCCGGGCGGCAAGAAGGCCGCCGCGGGCAACTTCCTCGGGTAAGTGTGTTTTTACGGCGGCCTAGTCGTCATCAAAGTTCCGCGCGGGCGCGAAGAGAAAGAAGACGAAGCCCGAGATGCCGCCCGTGTAGGCCGCGGACAGCGCGACCTGCCGCGGCGACCCCGTGGGCAGCGCCGCGACGAAGCCCGCCGCCAGGCCGCCGACGAGCTTGTTCAAAAAGTCGTCGCGGCCCCGGAGCTTCTCCGCGGAGCACGACGCGCCCGAAAACACGCCGAGGAAGGCCGCGAAGGAGAACGAATTGCGCGCGGCGAGGAACGTCGCGCTCCGGCAGCGCGCGGCGAGCGACGCGGGCGCCGCGGCGGGCGCCGGCGCCTTGTCCGCGGCGACGACCATGGCCACGTCCTCGCCGAAGGCCGCCGTCCACGCGACGCCGATGATGACGCCGCGCGCCGCGCCGTCGGCCGCGCGCGACCCACAGCTCGGCGCGTAGGGGCCCGTGATCGGCGCGTCGGAGAACATGGGGCGCGTGTGGTTGCGCGCGTCGTCCGCGGCGCAGAGCGGCGGCAGCGCGCGAGGCTGCGAGCCTTGCGGCAATTCACCAAATTGAAGTATGTTGCACCCGGCGATGCCCCAACATTCGTCCACGGCGGCACAAACGACCCTCGAGCTTACCTCTCGACGACGGGCGTCGACGCCACGGCGAATGTCGCCGCCGCGAGCGCGGTCCCGCCCGCGAGCGCCAGGAGCGCCGCGGGCCCGCCGTGCGCGTCGAAGACGCCGCCCAGCAGCAGCGGCGTGACGACGAAGCCGACGTCGCCCGCGGAGCGGAACGCGGCGATGCCGACGCCGCGGGCCGCCGGGTCCACGAGGGCCGCCGCGTAGGACGGCAGCGTCGGCCCGAGGGCCGCCGTCGACAGGCTCCAGAGGCCGACGGCCGCGAGGAAGTGCGCGTGGTACTCGGCCCCGAGCGACACGACGCCCGCGACGCCCGCCACCGCCAGCGCGCTGCCGAGGAGCGACGGCACGACGATGGACCGCGCGTCCTTCGCGCGGTCCGACAGGGCCGCCGCGGGTCCCACGAACGCGAGATCGCAGAGCGCCATCGCGCCGAAGAGCTTTCCCAATTCCGCCGGCGAGTAGTCGAAGACCGACGACGCGACCAGGGCCAGAAGCAAGTTGCGCCCGCCCTGGCGCAGCGCGAACGTCGCCGCGTGCGCCACGGCGGCTCCCGCGAAGCGCCCGTCCGATAGCAAGTCCCGCGTCGACGTCTCGCCCGCGCGCGCCGCCTCGGCGGTCGTCTCCGGCTTCGTCTCGGAGAGCGCGAGGCCGGCGTGCGCCGCGGAGACGACGCCCAGGGCCGCCACGGCCACGAAGGGCGCGCGCAGCGAGTACTCCGCGGCGAAGCCGCCGAGCACGGGCCCGAGCGACACGCCGCACAGGAGCGCCGCGTGGTTCATGCCGAGCACGCGGCCCCGGTTCGTCGCCGTCGCGACGTCGTTGAGGTAGGTGGCCGCCGTGCCCAGGTAGGCCGCGTTGCCCGCGCCCGCGACCATCCTCGCGGCGGCGAACGACGCCGCGTCGGGCGCGGCCGCCGACGCCGCGTGGCCGACCGCGTTGACGAGTGCGCCGCCGACGAGCAGGGGCTTGCGCCCCCACTTGTCCGCCGCGGCGCCGACGGGCACGTTGAGCGCGAGGCGCGCCATGCCGAAGGTGCTCAGCGCGACGCCGACGTCCGCGGCCGACGCGCCGAGGCTCGACGACAGCAGCGGCACGCACGGCGCCGCGACGCCGTGGCCGAGCATCATCGTCAGCGTCGACCCGCAGACGGCGACGACGCGGCCGTCGCGCCAGGGCGCGTCCTCGTCGCGCGGCGGCGGCGGCGCGCTGCTCAGCGCGCGCCGGCCCGGGAAGCGGCCGAGCCCGGGCCGCAGCACCGACGCGAGCAGCAGCGCGCGCCGCGGCACCATCGCGCGCTTTTGCCGCGAGACGGCGCGCGCGGATCGCTCGAGCTTGCCGCCAAGCTCGAGGCGCAGAGACGGCTCTACCTTGGCGCGCGCGGGTCGCACGAGCGCTGCGTCATAGTCGCCTCGCTCTCTGCCGGTAGGGGGGGTCACTGAGCCCGGGTGCTCTCCGGGCTCCGCTCCGCCCCCGCTGGCGCCTGGTTTTTGGAGGCGTCCCTGGAGCGACTTCCCGGTTTAGTGGGGACGCGAAAATTAGGGGAACTGCGTGGGGCGCCGCCCCGCGGCGAATGCGCCGGTTTAGGGCTCCCCACTAAATCGCCCCGGCTGGAATGGGTCACAGTGCCCTGCACTTGACGGACCAGGGAGAGCGTTTTGTGAGAGCTGGGCTGCCCGTGTCGCCGCCCGTCGGCCCGGCTGTGCGCCTGCGGGCGTTTGGATTCGATTCCCCGCGCCTTGCGCCAGCCCGAATGGCCGCAGCAACCGCAGCGCTCGTCGGCGCCTAAAGCTCGCTCTGCAAGAGAGAGACTTTGCTGGGTCCTGATCCAAACCAGGTCACCAGCGTGCTTCTATTCGCCGCGTCGACGTCTCGACAGCTTCGCGCGGTCTCAGAAGGTCCACGGAGGAAGGGCAAGGGCGCCAGGGACTACTACACGTGGCTCGAGGCGAAGTACTCCAAGGCCTTCTACGTCGGCGAGTCCCGCGCCTCCGGCGGGCGCCAGGACCTCGAGTTCGAGGCGTCGGTCGCCGTCTACGTGAACCGCCCTCACTACGCCAAGTTCCTGGATGTCATCCTCCCGGACCCGCAGCACAGGAACATCCTCGAAACGTCCGCGCGTCCCCGACGCGCGTTCCGCGGAAAAAAAACGACCTCTTCTAGTACCATAACTTCGCTCAATCCGGACGGATCAGGACGAACCGAAAGTCGTTTTCGAGTTCCTACGCGGGCTCCTCGGGATAGGCGCAGTCTCGGAGCTCGGCTCGACGACGGCAAAATCCCGGGTTTTCAGTGTCGCCCCCTACTGCCGGTAACTTGATGTTCAAGTTGCATCCGACGCGTCGAACAAGGACGCGTCCGGGAGGACATCGCGAGGAGGACCACGTCTGTGCACTTTCCTTAGCTCACGCGGCGGCGGCGACTTCGCCGACCTTCGCTTCCTGCGCGCCGGCGGCGGCGGCGAGCGACGCGCGGTGCTGGGCGAGCTCGACCTCGTACTCGCGCGTCATCTTTTTGACCTGGAAGAGGCGGTCGAGCTCCGCGACGACGGCCGCCGGGCCGATGTCCGTCGCACCCTCCGGGAAGTGCTCGTCCTTGACGGCCTTCGCCCGCGCGCGGTAGGGCGAGTCCGCGGCGACGAGCGCCCGAAGCTTGGCGTAGACGTCGGCGTCGGCGACGCGCTCCGGATCCCGGAGGTGGTTGTCCTTGCCCGGCGTCGGGCCGCTCGACGACGGGTCCGCCGTGTCGAGGACCAACGCGACGCCGAGGCTCGCGCAGTGCGCCGCGTTGATGGGCTGGTCGACGGCGACGGGCGTGCAGAGCATCGGCACGCCGCGCTGGAGCGCCTCGCACGTGCCGTTCCAGCCCATGTGCGTCACGAAGCACGCGGCCCGGTCGAGGAGCGGCGCCTGGGGGATGAACGCCGCGGCGACGAACCAGCCCCGCTCCGCCTCGACGTCGAAGCCCGCTTTTTCCAACGCCTTTTCGAACGTCTCGCGGTGGCAGACCTTGAGCACGACGTTCCACTCGTCTTTGCCCCGGCGCAGCGCCTTGAGGATCTCCGACAGCCCAAAGGCCGTGAGCGACTGCGTCGGGATCGACGACCCGCCCACGAGCACCAGGGGCTTCGGCGAGTCGAGGAGCGCCGCCGCCGCGGGGTGCGCTTCGACGAAGGGTCCGCACGTCGCGTCCGACGGCGGCGAGAACGTGTGCACGTAGTGGAGCCGCGGCGATCCCGACGGGCCGCCGCACGCGCAGAGGTCCGGCGCCTCGATCGACGACGTGAAGATGCCCGCGGCGTTGTCGGCGTTCTGCGTGACGCAGGCGAAGAACTCGCCCATCATGCGGCGCGCGGACGGCACGACGCGCGTCGCGACGTAGGGCGCGACGAGCTCCAGGGGCAGCGGCATGTCCGCGCAGCCGAAGACGCCAAGCATGCCCGCGGGGCCGGGGAACGTCACGTAGTAGGGGATGCCCCGCTTGGCCAGCGCGCGGCCCGCCGCGAGCGACATAAAGTCGACGACCCCGACGACGTCGCCCGCGTCGCGCGTCTTCAGGACGTCGTCGACCGCGGCGTCGACGGCGGCCTGGCGCGCGTCGTTGAAGCCGACGAGGTGCATGCAACCCTTCTCCATCATGTCGGAGAAGATGGCCTCGAAGCGCGTCGGGTCGTCGTAGGCGACGGCGCCCTCGGCCTCGAAGCGCGCCGTCGCCGCCGCCGGCGCCATGGACGCGAACTGCGTCACGACGGCGTCGCGGTCGACGGCGTTGACGAGGAACTGCACCTCGTAGTCGTCGCGCGCCTGCAGCTGCGTGGCGATGCCGACGAGCGGGCTCAGGTGGCCCTGGCCCAGCATGGCGTTGAGGATGACGGTCTTGGGCATGGCGGTGCGGCAGCGCGTCGTGGCGTTCGATGCGACGACTGCTGCGGCCTCGGCTTGCAACTAGGAGCTAGTCGGCAGCGTGTTTCGGGCGTATGTGTGATTACAGCCACATAAGTGGTGCCTCCGTGGAAAGTAGAAGTCGAAGGACATTGAATTACAAGTTTACGGCAACATAATGGTGGCGCGCCTCACCTGTGGAAGACGAAAGTCAATTGAAGGTAAACCAAATAGCCTGGGAGGGCTACATTACAACTTCGATATTACACGACGGCGACCCCACTTCCCGGCGGGTAGACGACGCAGCCGGCGGCGTCGTCCGCGACACCGACGGGCGCGATCTCGAGCCAGCCGTGGGCGCGGCGCCGGACCGCGCGCCGCTTCCACCGGAGGCGGAGGCCGCGGCCCTCGAACTTGGGCGCCCAGTCGTCGACGAGGGCCGTCGTCGCGCGGCGTTCCGCGGCGGCGGCGCGGCGGTCGTAGCACGCGGCGGCGGCGACGGCGAGCGGGACGAGCGCCGCGGCGGCGTAGGCGTGGACCGCGGCCGTGGCGAGCGCCGCGAGCGGCGCCGAGTAGGCGAGCGCGCGCCGCCGCTCCGCGGCGTCGTAGAGCGCGGCGTCGCGCCGCGCCCAGTCCGCGAGGAGCGCGTCCCAGAGCTTGCCCTTGGGCAGCTGCGCCGCGATGGCCGGCGGCACGGCGTCGCCCGGCTCGTGGTTCGGCGCGGGCCGCGCGCCGCACGCGCGCGACCGCCGCCGGAGGACGACGCGGTCGTCCGTCTCGACGGTGAGCCAGAAGGGGTCCTCCCGGCCGGACGTCGCGGCGTGGTACAGCACCGCCGCGACGGCGAGGCACGCGGCGCCGAGCGGCAGCAGGGCCGGCCGGAGCGTCGCGCCGGCGCCGACGAGCAGCCCGCCGCCGACGGCCGCGGCCAGCAGCGCCCGCTGGTAGGGCGCCGCCGCCGCGTCGCCGCAGGCCGTGCGGTAGAGCGGCGCGCCGCCGCCGTCGGCTTTGGGCCGCGGCAGGAGGAGCGAGTCGGTGATCGGCAGCACGCCGCCGCCGTTCGCGAGCGCCTGCCGACCGGCGGAGGCGCAGCAGACGACGCCGGCGCCGAAGCAGAGCGCCGCGCCGGCGACGACGAAGGGCAGCCAGTCCCGCCGGTCGGCGCCGTCGCCCGCGTCGCCCTCGGGGAAGAGCCGGTAGCAGTCGGCGTCGGCGCAGGCCGTGCCGTTCGCGCGCGCCGCGGTGACCTTGGCGAGGCAGCCGACGGCGCCGATGGCCGCGGGGCCCGCGGGCGCGCTCGTCGACGCGCAGGCGCAGTCGCCGCAGCGCTTCCGCGTGACGCCGTCGAAGCGCTCGACCGCGTGCCGCTCCTCGGCGGCCGTGAAGTTGTAGGAGAAGAAGTCGTAGCACCAGGTCTCGCGCACCGTGCGTTCGCCGGCCTCGTCGTAGGACGACACCGTGCGCTCGAAGGACCGCACGGTCTCCGCGTAGGTCCGGCAGCGCGCCGCCTCCCAGGCCGTGGCGTCGTCGTCGGCGAGGTCGTTGCGCAGCTTGAAGGCGACGCCGGCGCTGAGCAGGCCCCAGCCGAGCCAGAGCCCGAGGACCATGACCACGCCCTGGCCGCAGGACTGCCAGCAGCCGGAGCGCAGCTCCCCGGAGACGCGCGCGCAGTCGTCCCGCTCGGGGCTCTTGCGCTCCTCCATGAGGCAGCCCGCCAACGAACTTGCGGGCAACGCCGATATAGGAGACGAGCCGTAGTGATTATAATTGCCCAACGTATATATCATAAACGATGCGAGCCATTCGTTTTAAAGTTTGCATCTTCTTCAATATTGGCTGTGCGCTCACAGCCATTCATATCCCAAAGTTCATCGAGCTCAGTGAAGTTTATTCCGTCAAGGGTTAGTTTTGCTTATTGAGTCAGTGACGGTCGGACACCTTCAACGTTCGCTACGTATTGGACAGTTGCTCCCGCGACCTTACCTCGCGAGGGCGCGGGGCAGGCGGCCCGAGAGGGAGCACCAGGCGCCCCAGACCGTGGCGCCCTCGCAGGGCGGCGCGTCCCAGGCCCGGGGCCGCCCCGCGTCGTCCTCGCGCGCGAACCATGCGCAGACGCCGCCCGGCGGCTTGGGGAAGGTCGCCGGCGCCGACGCGTTGGCGCAGCCCCGGAGCCAGCTGCGCCGCTGGGACCGGAGCGCGGCGACCGTCGCGCCGAAGGGCTTGCCGAGCTTGGCGGACCACGCGCTCAGCGCCATGCCCGCCGAGGCGTGCAGCAGCGCGTCGTGGGGCTCGAGGGCCTCGAGGAGGAGCCGCGTGCGCAGGTCCACGGCGTCGCCCGCCGGCGGCGTCGCCCGCGGCGGCGCGGGCAGCGCGTCGCCGATGTTCCAGCCCATCGCCGTCGTCAGCAGCGCCGTCGACTCGTCGTAGCGGTCCACGAGGAAGGGCAGCCATTTGCCGGCGGCCAGCGCGGCGACGCGGCTCTGGAAGATGTTCGTGAAGCAGCGGTCCCGGGGGTCCGCCGTGCCCACGAGGGCCGCGGACATGGCGTCGAGCGCGTGGCCCGCGTCGCGCGCGAGGCGGCGCCGGCCGGCCGGCGTCGTGCCGTTGGCCCGCCGGATCAGGTCCGGCACCTTGCCGCCGCCCCTGGTCCAGGCGGCGACGAGGCGGTCCACGGGGTCCCAGACGAGCGCGACGACCTGGGACCGCGCGGACGGCACCGCGGCGAGCAGAAACGGGTGGTACGACGCCGGCTCGACCCAGGCTTCAAAGGGCCAGCCCGACGAGTGGACGACGGCCTGCCGCTCGTGGCGGTTCCGGAAGTCCCAGGCGCCGCGCCGCCCGTCGCAGCACGTCGGCGCGGCCGCGCGCAGCCCCGCGGCGCGCGCCGCGTAGCGCACCGCGCGCTCCACCGTTTCTCGCCCCGCGCCGCCCGCGAGCCCGACGACGACGACGCCGCGCCCCTCGCGCCGCAGCGGCACGGCGAAGCGGCCCGGCCGCACGCCGAGCGTCGCCGCGCGGAGCCGCACGACGCTGTGGAGGCACTGGCGCGCCGTTGGGCGGCCGGCCTCGGCGACGAGAGCGCCGCCGTCGTCGCCGAAGTGGAGCACGACGACGAGGCAGCTCGCGATGGTCGTCGTGAGGAGGATCGCGAGGAACGCGATGCCGACGCAGCGCAGGGCGCGGCGGCGCGTCGGAGGCGCGGGCTGCCCCATCGAATCGGTTCGGTGCGCGCGGGAGCGAGGCAACACCTGTGCACGAGAAGACGGTGCTGTGGAGCTCGATCTTGATGATCTTGTGCTCAAGCCGCAGCAGCATGGCCTCGAAACTTGTCCTCGCGCTGATCGCGACGGGCGCCTCGGCGTTCGTGGCGCCGTCGACGGCCGCCGCGCCGTCGACGGTGCTCGGCGCGGACCTCACGTCGATGCCCGGCATCGGCAAGGAGACGGGCGACAAGCCCTGGGACCCCTACGGGTTCGCGACCAAGGCGTCGACGGACACGCTCGGCTGGTACCGCGCGGCGGAGATCAAGCACGGCCGCGTGGCCATGCTCGCGTTCACGGGGTTCGTCGTCCAGTCCATGGGCGGCGGCATGATCCCGTTCGGCGCGGCGGGCGCGCGCGCGCCGCTGTCCGCGAAGCCCTTCGAGGCGCTCGGCCAGCTCGGCGGCGCGGGCCTCATCCAGATCGTCCTGACCATCGGCTTCATCGAGCTCTACAGCGAGACCATCAAGCCGCACTACACCAAGGGCGGCACGCCCGGCTACCTGCCCATCATCGCGCCGTCCGGCCTCGCCGGCGACGTCGACCTCCGCGCCGCGAACAAGGAGCTCAAGAACGGCCGCCTCGCGATGATCGGCATGATGGGCTTCTTCGCCGCGGCGGCGATCCCGGGCTCCGTGCCCTTCCTCGCGGGCGTTTCGCTTTAGCGCGGCGCTCGCGCGTTAAGGGGCCGCCCGAGGCCGCGGGCGGCGCGTTGTCCAAAACATCGATGACCTGAGGGGGGGAGGGCCGCCGGAACTTCAGAGAGTTCTGTCCGAGGGGTACGTGCTCCCCGGAGCCAGGCATCGCGGATCGCAGACTTTACGGCCCCGCGTCCGCGGCGCAGAACGCGAGGTCCGTGGACCCGAGGAGCGCGGCGACGACGCGCGCGAGGGCCGCCTTGGCGTCCGGGAGCGTGAAGGGCGTGTAGTTCTTGCCGTCGGGCCGCGTGTCGACGAGGAGCGTCGCGTTCCGGCCCCAGGGCACGGAGTCGAGGAGCACCTCGAGCCGCGCGGGCGTGGCCACGGCGACGCGCGGCAGGGGCTTCGCCGCGTCCTCGAGCTGGGCCGCCTGGTCCGCGGCCTTGAGGTGCTTGCCGAAGAGCTTGAGCACCTCGGGCACCTGCCTTTGTTTCCGGAGCGTCTTCGCGACGTCCGCCGCCCGTTTCGCGGACGCGCAGACGAGCACGACGTCGAGGCCCCGCGGCGGCGCGGCGCGGTCCCGGCCCTTGCTCGCGCGGCGCACGCAGTTGGCGATGACGTCGCCCGCGCCCTCGCCGGCCGCGGGCGCGTAGACGCGCCGCTCGAGCGCGGCCGCGTCCGCGCCGTCCGCGAGCGGCGCCAGCCACGCGGCCCAGTCGCCGCCGGCCCAGGCGCAGTCCGCCAGGTCCTCGAACTTGCGCTTCTTCTTCTTCTTCTTCTTCTTCTTCGTTTCCGCGGCGTCCGCGGGCGCGTCGCCCGCGAGCTCCGCGCCGTCGCCGCCGTCGTCGCCGCCGTCGCCGTCGTCGTCGTCGTCGTCGTCCATGACGTAGATCTCCGGCGCCGCCACGGCCGCGTCGTCCTCAGGCTCCGGCTCCGGCTGTTTTTGTTGCTTCTCCTTCTTCTTCTTCTTCGCCGCGCCGGCGGTCGGCAGCGCGGCGTTGCCGCTGGGCTTTGCGCTGCTGGGCTGTTTCGCCTCCTTCTTCTTCTTGGTCTGCGGCTCCTTCACGTCGTCGCCGTCGTCCTCGAAGAGGAACATGTCGCCCATCTCCATGTCATCGTTCATGGTGTTGCGCGCGGCCGGCGCGATGCGACGAGGCGGGAGGCCGCCAATCGCTTCGCCAAGAACTTGTTGACCTTCAAGTTGCACGGCAAGAAAGCAGTGATGATCTATATATCTCGCCGGTAGATATAGCCCCCCCTGGCGCGCGCGGGCACCGCTCCGGCGTCACGGGTCGTAGATGAAGTAGTAGGGCCGGGGCTTGTAGAGGACCCGGCATACGGGCGAGTGGGGCTGGACGGGCTTCCCGCCGACGAGGAACGAGTAGAAGTCCGCGGCGAAGTGCTGGCAGTTGCGGCTCTCCTCGTGGTACTCCATGTCCCGCGCCGCGTAGTTGAGCACGTAGTTGAAGAGGTCGGCCTTCGTGCGGTGCATGACGCGCACGTTGCCCGAGTGGTCCACCGTCGCGTCCAAAAACTTGTGGTGGGGCTCGCGGCCCGAGCCGTCCGCGAGGTATGTTTCCAAGGCGGCCCTGGTCGTGAAGGGCACGTCGTTGCCGCGGACCTCGAGGAGCTCGGAGCGCCAGGGCAGCTTCATGGAATCGTCGATGGCCTCGAAGAGCGGCAGCGGCGCGTCGCCGTCCGCGGGCGGGTACCAGTTGGACCGGCCGCCGTAGCCGCCGAGGCCGTTGCGCCACGCGAGCTCGAAGAGCGTCGCCGTGCCGTCGTCGAACTCCACCAACACGGCCGCGTGGTACGTGAGCAGGTCCTTGGCCGTCTCCTTCGCCTTGGGCTTCGCGTAGCGGTGCGCGAAGAGGTGGCACTTCGTCGCGGCGCACGCCGGCGCCGCGGCCGCGGCCGCGGATCCCGCGTAGACGCGCGGGCCCGGCGCGATCCAGAAGAAGAAGCCCGGGCTCGCGGGGCTCCAGCCCTTGACGGACCAGGACGGCTGGCGCACGGTGCACCGCACGCCCCGCATGGCCTTGATCTTCGGGTACGCGGGCGCGCCCTTGGTCGCCCACACATGCCAGAAGCGCTTCACCTACCGAGTGCGTCGGTCACGATGTTTCATCGTTTCCCCCGGTCAAAAGCTCTCGAAAATCGTCTCGGCCGCGGGACGCCGCGCGTCACGCGCTTCACGACGCCCAGGGAGCTCACGGCGCAGGTGATGCTCACGAGCTCGAGGTCCACGAGGCCCTGCGGTGGGACATGTCAGCGCAGGTTATTGCGCGAATGGATGAACGCCGCGGTACCACCGGCCAGCCGTTGAGCGGGCCGCCCGCGAAGACGTACGCGTCGCCGCGCTTCTCGAGCTTGGAGAAGAAGTCCGTCGCCCGGATCTGCGGCACGGGCCGCCGGGGCTTCAGGTTGCCGTCGGCGTCGCAGTGCTTCGGGTCCACGTGGTCGTCGCGGACGATCTGCACGTGCCAGACGGTCCCGTCCGCGTGCTCCGCCTTGACCTCCGACGCCCGCAGGTCCTCCTCGGGCGCGTTCTCGAAGACCGCCGCGTCCTCGCTGCTCAGGCTCGCGCGGTCCACGTGGTGCTCGTCGTCCACGTGCTCCGCGAGGACGTCCGGGACGAGCGTGTGGCGCCGGCCCACGTAGGGGTGGACGAGCTCCGCCGCCGCCTTCGAGGCGCTGGTGTCGACGACGAGGCCCCGCAGCGCGTCCGACGCGCCGCCGAGGAGGTCCGACGCCTGCTTCTCGAGGGACGCGTCCGACGAGCCGCTCGACGGCTTGCTGCGAAACCAGGAGGCCATCGTCTGGCTGCCCCGATTAGCAGAGCGAAACTCCGGCTTCAATGCTGAGATCCATTCTATGACTAGCCAAATACATCAAACCGATCGTGTTAACACGATCGGTTTGCGTCGAACCTCCTCGATCGTGTTGGGGAGGTTGACACGATCTGAGGCCATCTGGAGGCATTGGACCTCCGCACGGCACGGCTGCGGGACGCTGTCGCGCCCCGCACCCCAAGCGGAGGTCAACGCAGCGGGCGGTGGGCCCCACGCGACGTCGCGAATGCTTGAACGCGCGCGCGGGACCACTTTCTGGCCTCGAACCTCGGGCTGCCCCGGTCCGAGGCACGGTCCGGAGGTCCCGGCGGCCCCAGAGCGCGCTGCCGCCAGAGATGGTGAAAGGGCACGACCCGGGGACGACAATGAATGACTCCATCCGGTCCCTTGCGCTGGAGCTGCCCTGGACCATCACGAAGTCGCCGTCGGGACGCCGCGGCTCCCGAGCCGCGACCGGATGAACTCGACAATTTTGAGTTCTACGATCCAACCCTCTTAACGAGACGATGCCCGGGTGTCGACGAACGATCCTCGACGCTGCATTGGCTCGAAAACGAGCTCAAAGGGGTCGGGAGAGCCGAACGCGTCCCTTCCCAGCCCTTAGAACCGCCCGCCTGAGTCCAGGCGCAATCGCCTGGATGTCTCGTTTTCATCAGCGCTTCGTTCGCGCGCATGCGGTCAACTTAGCCACTGAGATCGTTGCGCGTCTCGGCATATTCGCTGAGATGTGGGGCTGCAAAGCTTGTCATGCCATCATATGGCAGCGCTTCGATCGAGCGGCTGATCGTGTTCAGCCGTCGTGTTAACACGATCGGTTGAAGGCGTTGCCCTAGTCATAGAATGGGCCTGAGTCGTAATCGACGATGATGGTACCACTCGGGCTCGTCGTCATCGTCGTCGGGCTGGCGCAGAGCCAGCCGCCGGCGCCGCCCATGGCGCCGCCGCCGCAGCCCGCGCGGACGCCGCGGCACAACCGGCGCTTCCGCAAGCCGCCGAGCTTCGCGGGCCACTACCTCGAGTGGAAGGCCGAGCGGCGCATCGGCCTCGCGGGCCTGAACACGACCTGGGTGCCGCCGGTGCAGGAGCTCATGACCCAGCCCCTCGTGCGCGAGCGGAAGCGCTTCGCCAAGGACCTGAACACGTTCCAGCGCGTCCGCGGCGCCGTCCAGTGCGCGGACTGCGGCGCAGCGCCGGCCGTCGTCGGCCGCGACCGGTGCGTCGGCCTCGGGTCGCTGCTCGTCGGCGTCGCCCAGGCGTCGGCGGAGGGTCTGGAGCAGGGCAAGCGCAGCGTCTACGCGCCGGACGTGTCCGAGTTCCGGCGCCGCGGCGAGCCCCCGTGCGCGTGGTTTACCAAAGACGGCTCCAGGAAGTGCGACCGGCTCTTCGGCTGCTACCTGCCGCGCCTCCGGGCGACCTGCGAGAAGGCCGCCTGCGACGCGCTGCAGCGCGACGACCCGGCCATCATCCGCAACGTCTGGGGCCCGACCGCGCGCGTTCCCCCGGCGCCCGGCCTCGCGAAACGCCCGGACGCCGGACGACGCCGCAGGCACTTCGCGGCGACGCTCTTCGCGCTGCTCCACGGCGACGTCGGGCGCCAGCGGGCGCCGCGGGGCCCGCCGTCGCCCAAGGACTGCGTCCTCGTGCACGTGCGCCGCGGCGACGCGTGCCTCAACAAGCACCGGACCTGTCGCGCGCGCCGCGTCCCTTTCGCCCCCGCGAGTCACCGCGACGCCCATATAGGCCACGCGGACCGCGCCTACGTCGACGCGGCGCGGCGCCTCAAGGACGCCTACGGCTTCCGGGAGCTGCGCGTCGTCAGCGACTCGGCGGCGCTGCCCCTGGCCGCGTGGGCCGCGGACTTTGAGACGGTGACGGTGCTGTCGTCGTTCGACCGGAACAAGTACGACGTCGCCGCGGAGGCGTCGCTCACGTCCAAGGAGCTCCGCGCCCAGTTCCCCGAGCGGCGCATGGCGGCGGGCGAGCTCGGCAACGCGACGGCGGAGGCGCTCGGCGACCTCGCGGGCGCCCGGAGCCTCGAGTGCCGCGCGTTCGTCGGCTCCTTCTCCGCGTCCATGTCCAAGGCGCTCTTCGCCCAGCTCCTCATCCGCCACCGCATGGTGCCGCCCTTCGTGTCCGTCGGCGGCTGCGTGGACCAGGTGCGCTTCTTCGACGCGGACGCGGAGGAGGCGCCGCGGTGCTCGGCCGGCGGGGCCGACGAGCTCGAGCGGGCGACGAAAGCGAGGCACCGCGCGGCGCAGCTCGAGTTCGCGTCGCTCCAGCTGCGGCGGAGCCACAAGCAGCCGCCGCTCTGCGCGTCGAAGCTCCTCGGCCGGGCCGGCGTGCTCCTCGTCTCCGGCGCGGACGAGGGCGCGGCCGCGGCGACGGTCTTCTTCACCTACGTCGTCAACCACGCGCTCTACGCGGACCACCACCGCCTCCTGCCCTGGGTCAACCTCGGCTGGCTCGAGGTGCCCCGCGTCTACGACCCGAAAGTCCACCTCCAGGGCACGAACGGTGCGTCGTCCCTTTTTTTCTACGGTTTTTTGAGGAGCGCGCCCGGGGCAGGCATCTGGTCGCACTACTTCGAGCCCCTGGAGAACGTCGCGCTCTACGAGGCACACCGGTCCGGGCGGCTGGCCTCGGCGCCCGACGACGTCGACGCGGGCCGCGCCGTCTGCGGGGACCTCGACTGCGCACCGCGCCCGCGTCCGCGCGCGCCTTCCGCCGCGAGCCGTTTCCCGCAGGAGGCGCCGCGGAACTGCCGGGACGGCAACGTCGTGTCCAAGAGCCTCGAGTGGCGCCACACGATCCACCGCAAGGCCCTCTGGGCCGCGCGCGCCTGGTACTACGGCCCCAAGAAGCGGCACGCGCTCCCGCTCGACCTCAGCCGCTACGAGGAGCGCTGGTGCGTGTTTCTCTTTTTTTCTCGAGGGGGAGCGGCGCGTTCCTAGGTTCGCGAAGCACCGGGGCCGCGCGCACGGCGCGCTCGCGGCCTACGTGCGCTTCCTCCGCGACGGCGCGGCGACGGCGCGGGCTCAGGCGATCCTGGGCGCGGTCGAGCGCGGCGACCTCGCCGCGGCGGGCCTCCGGCGCCTCGCCGCGCCGGCGCGGCCGCCCGCGGCCGGCGCGCTCCTCGTCGGCGTCCACGCGCGGGGCACGGACGCCGCGGACCGGCGCACCGTCGCGCCCGTGGACAAGTATTTGCCCTACCTGGCGGCCGTCGCGGCCGCGGTCCCCGGCGCGGTCGTCTACGTCGCGACGGACGACGAGACCGTCGCGGACGACCCGCGCTGGGCGACCCTGGGCTGCCACGTCGTCGCGCCGACGGCCCTGCGGTCCACGGGCGACGTCGCGGTCTTCGACTGTGTGGAAATCAACCACCGGTTTGGGACGTCCCCACCAAACTTTGAAATTCTCTAGCTCGGTCAAATCGATGTTGTTTTGGCTGATTGTTGGACGAATCGATTGTTCTCTTCGAGCTCTCGAAGCACAGCCGAAGAACTCGCGTCACGACACGAAGTCGGGTCGAAGATTTGATTTGCACACAGGTCTTCGACGCGCACGCGCATCGCCACCACGAGACGAACGTCGAGGTCCTGGCGGACATCCTCGTCCTCGCGCACGCGGACGTCTTCGTCCACGCGGCGTCGGCCGTCGCCGAGGCGGCCCAGTGGCTCGCCTTCCCGCGGCTCCACAACCGGTCCGTGCACCTCGAGTTCGCCCCGGAGAGCCAACCGCACGATGTGCCGGGGTTCGCGGCGCTCGCGGCGGCGACGGCGCCCATGGTCGGGCGGGCCGCCGCCCTCGCCGCGGCCTGGACCCTGCCGCCGGCGAACGCGCGCGGGAAGCGTACGCGGGTGTGAGGCGGTTCAATGACGCTCAGAGGGCGATGTTGACGCTTTGTTGTCCACAAAGTGAAGTTCGAGCTCGAGGTGGCAGCGGGCCCCGGACGCGGAGAGACCATGTTCGGCAGCGGCATGTTCACGGCGATGCAGAAGGCCAAGGCCGGGCGCGCCAAGGTCGAGTCCGCCGAGGACAAGCTCGAGGCGTCTCGCAAGGCGCGCGCGGCGGAGGCGGCGGCCGGGCGGGAGAAGATCAAGGCCCAGCGGGAGCTGCGGGAGCGCGTCGCCGCGGCGGAGAAGCAGGCCCTCGCCGAGGAGGCGGCGCGCGTGCGCGACGAGGCCGCGCGGGCGGCGCGCGCCGCGGCCGAGGCGCGCGAGACCTACGCCGCGCTGGTGGCCGCGCGCGATCCATCCGTCGCGTCGCGCTGGTTCTACCTCGACGACGACGGCGACCGGCGGGGCCCCTTCGAGCCGGGCCAGATGCGGGGCTGGTTCACGGACGGCCACCTGCCCCGCGAGCTGCGCGTCGCGCCGGCCTTCGACGTCGACGGGAGGGTGCCCGGCCCGTCCGACATGCGGCGCATCGATGAGTTGTTCAAAGAGCCGCTCCTCACCTCCGCCTTCCGCGTCACGCCGCCGCCGCCGTCCGACCTCGCGACGGTGCCCGCCCAGGAGAAGAAGAAGAAGGAGAAGCGCAAGCGCGACGACGACGCGCCCACGGGCAACTGGCTCCAGGACTCGCTCCGGCGCCAAAAGCAGGGCATCCACGCGCGCCGCCACGACCGCCACGACGGGCCCGCGATGCTCTACGAGAGCCACGAGGCGTAAGATGATCCTAAAAAGCGGCGCGGTTACTGCTGGGGCCGGCCCGCGCGCTCCGCGCACTGGATCCGCGCGACGAGCGTGCCGTCGACGACGTCGCCGAGCGACTTCGCGCAGGCCGCGACGATGTCGGCGTCGAGGGCCGCCGGCGGGTCGTCGAGGGCCGCCTGGAGCGCGGACAGGGGCAGGCCGGCGGCGTCGTCGAGGACCTTCGCCGCGAGCGACGACGAGAAGAGGTCCGCGTCGACGAGGAGATCGACGAGCTCCGCCGCGCGCGCGCGGTCCGCGCCGGCGCCGAGCGCCGCGTCGAGCAGGTGCGCGCGCACGGCGTCGTAGGCGCGGTCCGCGTCGCCGTACTCCTCGAGCTCGCCGCGCGGGTTCCGCCGCTGCGGCCGCTCGTCGGCCTCCTGGACGCGGTCGCGGCGCCGGATCTTCGCCGTGACGCCCTGGGCCCGGTCGTGCTCGAAGGCGAGGCGGAGGGCGGCCTCGGCGCCGAGGGTGAAGACGTGCGTGAACTCGACGGGCGCGCAGTCCTTCTCGAGGGTCCGGACCTTGCCCTTCTCCCAGTAGTTCGACGACCGGCCGCTCCCGAAGTCCCTCGTCTCCGACGCGCGCACGGCCTTGGGGCCGTCCCAGGGCACGAAGGCGTGGTCGTCGAAGAGGCGGACGACGCGCATGTGCTCGCCGCCGACGGGCTTGGGGATGCCCAGGTCCTCGAGCTCCGCGGCCGGCAGCACGTAGCCCGGCCGCTGGTCGCCGGACTGCTTGCGGCCGTCGTAGTAGAAGCTCCGCCCGACCTTGACCCAGACGAGGGCCAACGACGGCACGGCGTACTTCTCGATCGACGCGAGCGCCGCGGGCGCGACGGCCGCGTGCGGGCACTCGCGCGACGGCGCGGCGACGGCGGCCATGCGCCTCGTGCCCGTCACCTTCTCGCCGTCGCGCTCCTTCCAGAAGAAGTCGTCGAGCGGCTCCTCGGAGTCGCTGCCCGACGAGCTCGACGGCGCCTTGGGCTTCTTCTTCGCGGGCGCGCCGGCGCCACCGGACTTCCGCTTGCCGTCCTTCCTCGCGGCCTTCTTCCGCGGCGACCGCGGGCTCGCCTCCTCGTAGTCGTCGTCGTCGTCGTCCGACGCGGCCGCCTTCGGCTTGCGCGCGCCGGACCGCGACTTCTTCGCCGAGGGGCGCGGCGACGACGCCGCCGACGACGCGTCGTCGTCGGGCTTCTTCTTGCGCGCGCCGGACGCGACTTCTTCGCCGAGGGGCGCGGCGACGACGCCGCCGACGACGCGTCGTCGTCGGCCTTCTTCTTGCGCGCGCCGGACCGCGACTTCTTCGCCGGCGCCTTGGCCGCGGGCGTCCGCGACCGGCCGCGCGGCGACGACGCCGCGGGCGACGCGAAGAGGTCGTCGTCGTCGTCGTCGTCGGCGGCGGCGTCGAGGAGCGGCTCGGGCGCCGCCGCCGGCGTCGCGTCGTCGTCGCCGTCGGAGTCGAAATTGAAGGGATTCACCGCCGGCTTCTTCTTCGCCGCCGGCTTCTTCTTCGGCGGCGGCGACGCGTTGCGCTTCTTCTCCACTTTCTTTTTCTGCTTCCGCTCCATCAGCGCGTCGACATCGTCGGAGTCCTCCTCGCTGTCGGACGCCGCCGCCGCGGGGGGCGTCTCGCCGAGGACGTCGTCGCCGTCCGAGTCGCCGCCGAGCTCGGCGAGCACGTCCGCGTTCGACTTCTCCGGCTTCGTGTCGCCGAGGAGGTCGGCGTCGTCGTCGGAGTCGCCGCGGAGCTCGGCGAGGACGTCCGCGCTCGACTTCTCGGGCTTCGCGGCGCCGAGGAGGTCGTCGTCGTCGGAGTCGTCGCCCGCGAGCAGCTTGGCGCGCTCGTCCGCCTCGCGCTTCGACGGCTTCCCGGGCGACGCCGGCGGCGCGTCGTCGTCGTCGTCGAAGTCGGGGTAGTTCTTCGCCGGCTTGGGCGCCTTGGGCGCCTTGGGCTTGGTCTCGGCGGCGGACACGTTGGTGAATTTGAGCGGCGCCGCCGCCGGCTTCGGCGCCGCGCGCGGCTTCTTCTCGGCCTTGGCCGACGCCGGGCGGTGCGTCTCCTGCACCTTGCGCTTGTCCGCCGCCGTCGTCCGCGGGCCGCCGCCGTCCTTGGGCTTGGTGCCCGTGGACGCGATCGGCTTAAGCCAGCCGCCGGACGCCTTCGCGGGCGAGCTGCCAGACGAGAAGGCGCCCTGCTGCTCCGGCTTTCGGTTCTTCGCCTGCGCGGCGTGCATCGCGTCCCCAGGGGGTTTGATGGACGTCGTGCCCGCCAGCTTGTCCTTCTTCTTCGGGATCTTGCCCCGGTCCGCCATGGCCGTCGGCGAAACCGCCGGCGAACTGCGCGTGTCGCGCGCGCGGATGCGCTGCTTGTGGGCGCGGGGGGCGCCGCGGGTGGCGACGGTGTCGGTGCGACGGCCGACGCGCGCGGGCGTCGGCGCGCAGCGCGAATTGAAATGCGAGAAGCGCGGCGGTCGACGGAGAGCCCGGCGTCTCGAGTCGACCGAGCTCCTCAACACGAGTGGCACCATCGCGTATCCTGCATAACGAGGCGCTGATCGTCGGGCTGGTGGTGCGCCGCGCGTCGTCGACCATGTTCACGTCGAGCAAGATGTCCATGTCGACGGCGTCGCAGCCCAAGTTCATGACGACGACGATGAAGGAGAAGACGGCGGAGCGCAACGGCGCGCGGCGCATCATCATCAACCCGAAGAAGAAGTCGCCGCCGAAGGACGAGCTCGTGCTGCCCGGGGGCCACGAGTTCCCCTACACGGCGGGCTCCTTCTACGTCGGCGAGTGGCAGGGCGACAAGAAGAGCGGCTTCGGCACGCAGACCTGGACGTCCGGCGACAAGTACGAGGGCGAGTGGTCCGACGGCAAGCAGCAGGGCAAGGGCAGCTTCTGGAAGAAGGAGAACGGGCGCCTGCGCAAGCGCTACGCCGGCGACTGGGTCGGCGGCCAGCGCACGGGCCTGGGCGTGCTCGTCTACAAGAACGGCGACAAGTACGAGGGCGAGTGGGCGCGGAACGAGCGCCACGGCAGCGGCAACATGTCGTACGCGGCAGGGCAGGACCAGGGTGATTCAACGTCGCTTCAACGTGAGTGTTCCGCGCGCGCGCGTTCTGGAAAAAGCACCCACGCTTCGAGAGCGCTCCGCGAAATGATCGCTCGTCCAAAAATCAGCCGAAACGAGCGGAAAACGACCGAGCTAGGAAGGAGCCTTTGAAGTCGGGAATTTCGCACCCTTTTCCTGCCCAGGTACGCGGACGGCGGCCACTACGAGGGCGGCTGGGTCGCGAACAAGCGCGCGGGGCTGGGCATCTTCCGCCTCGCCAACGGGGACCGCTACGAGGGCCACTGGCTCAACGACGACAAGGAGGGGCCGGGCCGCTACTTCTACAAGTCCACGCGGAAGGTCTACGAGGGCGAGTGGGTCGCGGGCGTGCCCCGCTGCGGCGCGTTCCGCGACGCGACGCCCGCCGAGCTCAAGGAGCCCGAGCCCGCGCCCGGCGCCGAACACGCCGAGGCCTTCAAGCTGCCCGCGCTGAGCCTGCTGCAGCCCGAGGCCGTGCTCTCGAAGCGCGTCGCCGAGATCCGCCAGCTCCGCGCGTCCAAGGCCGCGGAGACGGCGGACCCGGACCAGGTCGTGCGCTCCTTCAACGACGACGAGCTCGCCGTGCTCCGCCACGTCTTCACCATCGAGGACAAGCAGTCCTCGGGCCTCGTGCCCGCGACGGCCGTCGGCTACATGCTCGAGCGGTGCCGCATGCCCATCGACGAGGTCTCCATCGAGCGCCTGCTCCTGGAGCTCGAGGCCGACGACGACACGCGGATCACCTTCGCCGAGTTCGTCGACATGGCCGCGCTCCTCCTCTCCGCGTGAGGGGTAAGGCGTATGGCGTCGGGACCGACGCGTCGACGGGCGCGCGCCGGTCACCTCGCTCGAGGTCGAGGCATCACTCAATCGTCGTTCTCAGCTCGAGAGGCGCGCGCGAACGAACTCACAGCGCCCCTCCGCGTCCTCTCTCGCTCGCGGAGAAGCATTCTCTCACGCCGGAGTTACGGGGATGTTCCCTGATCGACGGGAAGCGCCGCCAAAGGCCAGCTCTTAAAAAAAACGCCATCCATTCCCGTTCCCGGCCGTGACTCCCGGGCGCGTGCGCTCGTTCGTTTACGAGAGCGTGAGCCCCAAAGCCCCCGGACCCCCCCCCCCGCGCGCGCGCTCGAGATCGACGCCTCGCCTCGCCGCGCCGCGCTCGTCGTCCGACCGCCTCGTTCCCGCTCTCGGTCGTCGCGCGTGATCGCGTCGTCCCCGCAGGTCATCGACATGCTGCGCAAGCTCCTCCTCTGCGCGGCGGCCGTCGCAGCCGTGTCGGCGACGTCCGCCGCCGTCGCTCTGGCTTCGATGCCGGCCGTCGCCAGAGGGTCGCAGATGCTGATGGGCAACCCGTTTCGGCTGCTCGCGGCCCTCGCGTGGACATGCGACGCCTCGACGCTGCTCGTGCCGGCCTACTGGTGGGCGGCGACCGACTCCTCCGGCGCGTGCACCACGGCAGACTTTCACGCGCTGGCCGCCGCCGGCGGCGCCGCCGTGGCCGTCGTGAACCCGAACAATGGGCCCATCGATTCCAGCGACGCAAACTTCGCCGCCTTCGCCGCCTGCGTCGCCGCGCTCGGCGATGCGCGCGCGATCGGCTACGTGTACACGAAGATCGCCGAGGAGACGAGCCCGGGCGTCTGGGAGCAGCGCGCGTTCCGCGACGCGGGCGACGTCGAAGCGGACCTCGACGCCTGGGCCGCGTCGGGCCTCGTGGAGGGAGTGTTCCTCGACGAGGTGTCGAACTCGTGGGCGGCGAGCTCGAGCGGCTGGGCGGACGACGCGACGACGGCCGCGGACCACGAGGCCTACTACGCGGAGATCTTCGCGGCGGCGCGGTCCCGGTTCTCCTTCGTCGTCGCGAACCCGGGGTCGCCCTACCCGCTGAGTTACCTCGAGGACGCGAACGCGCCGGACGTCGTCGTGCTCTCCGAGGCCGCCTACGCCAAGTGGGCGCCCTCGGCGGCCGGCGGCACGTGCACCGACCAGCTCTGGACCGATGCCCAGGGCTCCTTCGACGAGGGGCCGTTCTGCACGTACGTGCCCAACTGGGACGGCGTCGACGGCCTCAAGGACGTCGTCGACGCGCGGAGCTCGTCGACGGCGCAGGCGACCCTCCTCTACGACGCGGACCCGGCCCTGGACGCCGCGGCCTTCGTGGCGGCGGCCTACGACGCGGGCGTCGACTACGTCTACGTGACGGACCGCCCCGTCGCGACGCCCTGGGACGAGCTGCCGACGTTCTGGGACGCGCTCGTCGCGGCGGCGACCGGCGGCGACGACGAGGACGAGGACGACTACGTGGCCTCGGCGACGTGCGAGAACGACGAGACGTGGACGACGCCCAAGGGCGTGGACTGCGGCGAGCGGACGAGCAAGAAGAAGTGCAAGAAGCAGACCGGCTGCAAGTGGAAGAAGAAGGCGTGCACGGACGACAAGGCGAAGTCGTGCAGCGACCTCTTCAAGAAGTACGACAAGAAGCAGGAGCAGGGCAAGATGAAGAAGAAGGACGAGAAGAAGGTCAGCAAGTTGTGCGACAAGAAGAAGAACGCCGCGAATATCAAGGCCTCCGCTGCGTGCCGCAGGAGCTGCGGTAGCTGCCCGGCGGAGACCGCGAGCCCGACCGCGAGCCCGACGCCGACGACCGGGACCGGAACCGCTACGTGAAGGTGTTCGAATTCGTCGATGACGAGTGGACGCAGCGCGGCGCGGATATCGTCACCCCTTCCGAACACGACGACTTCGGCCACGCGGTGGCTCTGAGCTCCGACGGATCCACCGTGGCTGTCGGGGCGCCTTACGCCTACGGTTCGCCCGATCTCCCGGACGGTGGCCCCTGGGCGGGGCAGGTGCGCGTATACCAAGCGTCGTCCGGCTCGTCGAGCGACGACGGCAAGTGTGCCTCGAGGACTGCTTTGGAAAGACGTGCGACTACTGGGGCGACTACTGGGCGAACCAACAACAAAAGGATTATATCGAATATACGTGCGCGAACCTCGAAGCGCACTACGGATGCGCCTGCTCAGGGTGCACGTGCGCGCGCGACGACGACGCCGGCGAGTTCGGCCAAGGCGACGGTACCTTTCAGGAGGTCGACGCCGGCCCGAGCTGCGGGTCCAAGGAGGGCCGCGACTCCACGTCCTGGCACCAGAAAGACGCCCCGACGAAGACCTGCGCGTGGGTCGAGAGGAAGCCGACGAAGCGGTGCCGCAAGAAGGGCGCGACCGGCGCGCGGGCCTTGACGGAGTGCGTCCGCGCCTGCGCGTCGTGCCCCTCCGAGGGCGCGTGCGCGGACGACGCGACGTGGTCGCACACCAACAAGAAGAGCAAGAAGCTCGACTGCGTCAGCGTCGCGCGCAACGCCGGGCGCCGCTGCGCCTTGCCGGGCGCCGCGGCGGCCTGCGAGCGGACGTGCGGTGGGTGCTCGTAGGGCCGTCATCCGCAACTAGACTGGTAAAATCACGGTCATGAATGTACGAGCCTCGGGGTCGCGTTCGAGTAGTCCGGACGCGCGGACGCAACAAACCGTCTCTCCCCGGGCGGACGCTCAGGCGGACGCCATCGGGCGCGGGTTCCAAAGTCTCTCCTCGGGCGGACGCTCAGGCGGACGCCATCGGGCGCGGGTTCAACATCCAGCTTGAGGGCAAGTTGCACACTGTCATCGGCGTGGCAGCATGGCTCTCCAGCGCATCCAAGCTCTCGTGGCCCTGGCCATCGGCGCCGCCGCCTTTTCAGGCGCTGCCGCCTTTCAGGCGCCGCGCGCGCGGTTCCAGACACCACCACACACACGACCGTCCACAGTGCTGCGCGCGACGCTGGAAGCGCCGTCGAGCACGAGCACGCTGCGCCCGGACATCGCCGAGTGCCTCGGTAACGAGCCCGAGGGCCTCTTCGACGAGAGTGAAAAGATCGAGGCCGCGCCCTTCCCGCTCTCCGAGTCGGAGCTCATCGGTCTGGCCAAGGCCTACATCGCGTCGTTCACGAACGGCGACGGCGTCGACTGGTACGCGCGCGACTTCCGCTTCGTCGCGCCGGTCGTCGGTCCGTTCGACAAGGACCTCTTCGTCGACAGCCTCAGCGGCTTCGACCTGCAGAAGGCCTTCCCCGATTTGAACAGCAACGCGCACCACTTCCGCGTGGACCCCTTCGAGACGAACCGCGTCTGGTGGAGCGTCAAGTACACGGGCAAGAACACGGGGCCCGTGCTCGGGCGGCCGGCGACGGGCAAGAGTGTAGAGTCGCCAATTCAGGCGCAGTCGGCGACGTTCAACGAAAAGGGCGAGGTCACGAAGTTCACCATCGGCTACGTGCTCGACAAGGAGACGGGCAACACGGGCGGCCTCGGCGGCGTCTTCGGCCTCTTCTACGCCATCGGCTACGGGCTGCCCTTCCCCGAGGCGCAGCCGTGGCGGCCGTCGCCGCTCTACGGCACGCTCATGTCGGGCAACCGCGCGATCCAGAGCTTCTTCAAGGAGCAGCCCAGCGTCAAGGACGCGGTCCTCTCGACCATCTCCGCGCTCGGGGGCGGCGCGAAGTAAGCATCCCTCTTAACAGACGACGCAGCCCGCGTGCTGGTGCTCCTGCGCCTCCTTGAGCTTCGCGTGGCCCTGCGTGATCGCGGCGTTGGCCCGGGCGTTGTTGTCCTCGAGCGCGTCGACGTGGTCCTGCTGCGCCGCGACCTCGCCGGCGAGGTCCCGGGCGATCTCGTTCAGGAGGAGCGTCGACGCGTGGATGTCCGCGATGGCCGCCGCGCGCTCCCGGAGGATCTCGTCGAGCACCGCGCTGCCGCTCACGGAGCGGAACCGCGAGAGGATCGCGTCGTCGTCGTCCGCCGCGGCCTGCATCCGCAGGGCCGCATCCGCGTCGCGAGCGACGTAGCGGCCGTCCGTGGCCGACGACGGCGCGCGCTCGGGACGGAAGACGAAGGCTCCCTCCCCCGACTCGACCACGTGGGACCGAGACGACGCGCGCGCCTGCGCGGCGGAATGATTCCGTCGGGACGAAAGAGAACGGCCTCCCGACGCGAGTTGAATGATTCCGTCGGGACGAAAGAGAACGGCCTCCCGACGCGAGTTTGGGCGGGACCCCGAAAGAACGCGGGCACGCGCCCGGCCCGGCGCCGCGTCGGAGAGCGGCGACCGGCGCGCGCGGATGGCCTCCGAGCTGTCGCGAGAGAACTCGCGCACCTCCTCCTCGGCCGTCGGCCACTCGTCCGGTTCCCGGGGCAGGTTCCGCAAAACGTCCGCGGCCGCGGCGACCTCCCGGTGGAGGTCGCGCCGCAGCTTCTTCACGACGCCGTCGTCGAGCGTCGTCGCCGCGTCGAGGGCCGCCGTGACCTCGAACGCGCCCTTCTTGACGGCGACGCCCAAAGCGTCGAGCGCGTCCCGGAGGAATTCGCTGTCGAGCTCCGTGCCGCACTGCTTCGCGCGGTCCGCCAGTTTCAGCCGCGCGCGCCGCACGGTGTCCAGGCCCGCCTGGACGCGCGGCGCCGCGGGCCGGCGCGCCGTGTTTTTTGACGTCCGCCGCGCGGGCTTCGCGGGCCGCGTCCACCGGCGGCGCCGCGCGAAGTCGACGCCGCGCGGGCCCCGCGGCGCCCGGCCCTCGAAGCGCTCCGGCGCCGTCGCGTACTCCCAGCCCTGCTTCAGGGGCGACCCGTTGCGGCCCTCGACGACGCCGAGGCGCCAGGCGCCGTCCCAGGCGTAGCCCCGCGGCGCCGGAAAGGTCTCGCGCGTCGACGCCGCCGCGGCGCCCTCGCGCGACCGCCACCAGTGGTCGTCGGCGATCCAGCCGCGCCGCGCCGTCCACACCTCGTGCTCGTAGAGCTCCACGCGGACGACCATTTCTAGCACTGACCCATCGTCGATGATCGAGTTGATGAAGGTCAACATGGGCTGCACGATGGGGGGCTGCTGCCATCGATGAGATGACGCCGCGCACATGACGGCGAGATCAATGGTGTGGCGGCTCGTCGCCGCAGCTCTGGTCGCCGCCGCAGCCGGCAACAGCCTCGACGTCGCCGGCGCCTGCAGCCGCACGCGCCGGTCGAAGGACGCCATCGTCTGGCTCGGGCAGCGCAAGCACAGCACCTACGACGCGACGCACGCGAACACGTTGAACGCGTCCATGGCGAGCGTCGCGAGGTTCTACCCGGCGTTCGTCAACGCGGACGTGCTCGTCTGGCACGAGGGCGACCTGCTCGAGCGCCGCGACGCGGACGCGCTCGCGCGCGTGCCCGGCGCGAACGTCCGCTGGTGCCTGCTCAACGAGCGCACGGGCTGGGGCCCGCGCGCGGACCAGAGGGGCGCCGTCGCCAAGGACCCGCGCTGGGCGCCGGGCTACCTCTACATGATCCGCTGGTACGCCGTCACGTGCTGGGACGTGCTGGACGCGTTTAGGCTACGCGTGGGCGATGCGCTTCGACGACGACTCCTTCCTCCTGTCGCCGGTCGCCTACGACCTCTTCGGGGCCATGCGCGCGTCGAAGATGACCTACGGCTTCCGGTCCATCTCGCGCGAGTGCGACAAAAACTTTGGCGCGTTCGTCGACGGCTACGCGAGCGACAAGGGGCTGGAGACGCCGCGGGACGACGGCACGATCTTCTGCGAGAAGTTCCCGCGCCACTGCGCCGGCGGCCGCGCGAAGCACCCGAAGGCGCCCCAGTTCGCGTCGAGCCGGCCCTACTGCGAGGGGCCGGGGCGCCTCGGGTTCTACAACAACTGGTTCGTCACGTCCGTGACGTGGTGGACGTCGCCGCCCGTCGCGGCCTTCCGCGCGGCCTTCGACGACTCGGCCCTCATCTTCACGCACCGCAACAACGACCTCATCTTCCAGACGGCGGCCGTGCGGCTCCTGCTCCCGCGGGCGCGGTGGCGGCGCTTCGCGGACTTCTCCTACGTCCACCACACGATCCGCGAGGGCGACGTGCGCTGGGGCGGCCTCGAGACGGGCTACGCCGACGCCGGCGCGGCGGCGACGCTCCAGGCCTACCTCGACGCCTGGCACGCGGGGGAGCGGCTCGAGGGGTCCGCGCGCGTGGCCGCGTGCGACGTCCAGCTCACCGCGGGCGACGGCGACTTCAAGCGCGTCTCCTACGTGCCCCACGGCAAGACGCGCTGGGGCTGGCTCGCCGCGCCCTACTGCAACAAGAACGGAAGGGCGCCGCTCTGGTAAAGCGTCTTTCTGGGAGCTTGATGAGTTCAAGTTGCAGTGCAAGGCAGTCGCGTGCGATGAGATCGCTGCGATGAGCTGCGCTGAGTGCGGGACCGCAGCACCAGCGTGAAACGCACCCTCGCTGCCATATAATTCAGGTCGCGACGCCATCGCGTATACGCTCGAAGCGATGCGCGAGATGCACCACTTCGAGGTGACGTTCGAGATGTGGGCGCGGCGCTGGCTCGTGCCGGACGTCGACGGCGTCGATGTGCTGTACGCCGCGGGCCTCCTGCTCTCCCTGAGCTCCCTGCAGTCGAACGGCTACGTCCAGCCCGACGAGTGGTTCCAGTCCGTCGAGCTCGCGGCGCGCGACGTCCTCGGCAAGCGCGTCTGGGT